CAGTTGTGTTCACAATAATAGCAGTCAGACATCACTAACCTGATCAATCACTGTTTTTGGTAGAAATGATATTTCTACATGGCAAATAATTTACTAGCAGGTGTAGTAGAGTAATAGAACTCCAACAGACCCAACAGTCATGACATGCATGCTGCTGATTCTGTGTAATTGAATCACTAATTGAAAGGGGCATGTTCAAAATAATAGCAGTGTGAAGTTCTATTAGTGAGGTAATTCATTCTTTGAAAAACAGGTGCAAATTATTGCCCTTATTTAAGGAAGGAAGGCAGCAAATGTTGTACATGCTGGTTACAGTGCATTTCTCTCTGAAATTCTGAGGAAAATGGGTCCTTCCAGACATTGTTCAAAACAGCGTACCTTGATTAAAAAATTGATTAGAGAGGGGAAAAACATATAAAGAAGTGCATAAAATGATAGACTGCTCAGCTAAAATGATTGCAAATGCTTTAAAATGGCAATCAAAACCTGAAAGACGTGGAAGAAAGCAAAAAACTACCATTCGACTGGATAGAATAGCTAAAATGGCAAGGACTCAGCCAACAATCAGCTCCAGGAAGATCAAAGAAGGTCTAAAGTTACCTGTGAGTACTGTTACAATTAGAAGACGCTTATGTGAAGCCAAGCTACCTGCAAGAAGCCCCCACAAAGTCCCACTGTTGAAAAAAAGACGTGCTGAAGAGGTTACAATTTGCCAAAGAGCACATTGACTGGCCTAAAGAGAAATGGCGCAACATTTTGTGGACTGATGAAAGTAAGATTGTTCTTTTTGGGTCTAGTGGCCAGAGACAGTTTGTCAGATGACCCCCAAACACTGAATTCAAGCCACAGTACACTGTGAAGACAGTGAAGCATGGTTGTGCAAGCATCATGATATGGGGATGTTTCTCATACTACGTGTTGGGCCTATTTATCGCATACCAGGGATCATGGATCAGTTTGAATACATCAGAATACTTGAAGAGGTCATGCTGCCTTATGCTGAAGAGGAAATGCCCTTGAAATTGGTGTTCCAACAAGACGACCCCAAACACACCTGTAAACGTGCAACATCTTGGTTCCAGACCAACAAGATTGACGTTATGGAGTGGCCAGCCCAATCCCCGGATCTTAATCCAATAGAAAACTTGTGGGGTGACATCAAAAATGCAGTTTCTGAGGCAAATCCAAGAAATAGAGAAGAACTGTGGAATGTAGTCCAATCATCCTGGGCTGGAATACCTGTTCACAGGTGCCAGAAGGTGGTTGACTCCATGCAACACAGATGTACAGCAGTTCTCAGAAACAGTGCTTATACAACGAAATATTAATTAAGTAATTCAAAGGAAAGCAAAATCTTCAAACATTTTTCAGTTTATATAGTGAATGTTTGAGTTTGTAAAGAAGAATACAAACACTGCTATTTTTTTGAACAGTCTAATATTCACTTTTCTTCAATTTTTTTAGAGGAACAACACAAATTCGATATATATTTTTCTTCATGTTTTGATTTGGAATAGAATGTGTAGTGTTCCCAATGCATTTGTGTGTATGGAAATAAAAGCTATTAGAAGGATTTTGAGTTTTATTCACTTTTTTCAACACACTGCTATTATTTTGAACACAACTGTATGTGCAGTAGACAGGAAGGGGTGGAAAAGCAGAAATTGGTGGAGCTTTGCCTTTCAAAACTGATGCAACAGCAAAGTTTTGGAAGTTGCTACTAATAAGTGCAGGCACCTCCTAGTCGCCTGCAGTTTATACCAGAAGCAATTTCTTTTTTCTTTAATGGATTTATTTCCAGATCAGTCAACGGGATTGCAACTGGTCCAGGTAACTAAAAGGGTCCAAGGCTAATGCTACTTTTGTCTATATGGTTAAAGCTGCAATGATATCATAATATACTAGTACTTGCTAAAAGCAAATTTCAGCCACTGAATACCAGCAATATTAAAGTGGAAACTATATAGTATATATTTCATATAGTCTAATAAATATTGCTGAGTTAAAAGAAAAAGGTGTTGTGCATTGAGTTGGAATGCACTAGCTTACAATGAAATCTTGTTTACGGGTCTCTTCTGTAAGCTGATCGGTGGGATAGGGGAGTGCTTAGATAGGCTTATAGAAGGAAGAAAGCTCAGATTTGATGCTGCTACAGTAGCTGTATTCAACAGTAGCTCAAAGAGCAGGCAGAATGCAGGACATAGACTCTGCAGAACTACATGCCCTGGCAAGTGTCGTTACATTCCTTGCTTTTGGTAGGTAAAACAATTTCTGTGTAGAGTATATAGAGAAAGAGGATAATTAATGCCTTAGAAACAGATTCATATAAACGCAAAACTATTCTGGATAGTAAAACAAATTAATGCTTGTAAATAATTGGTGAACTCAAACCATCTCAAAATCCTCAGGGAGTCTAAAAATCCATAGACCTGCAGGACCAAATCCACATATAAGCTTCAAACAATCTTATCAATTCACCATCTACTGGAGGGTTGTGAACAATGTACAAAAGCCTAGCAGCCTGATCTGAAGCCAGGAAAATTTGAACACTGAAAAACAAAATTAGTCACAGGCAGCCTAGTGCACATCATTTATTCATGCTTCCAATAAAAATAGAATTGAACATATGGGACAAATGTAACAATTTGAAGCCTCAATCTGAGTTATTTATTATTATTTACTACAGGTACTTATATAGCACCATCAATTTACGCAGCGCTTTACATATATATTGTACATTCACATCAGTCCCTAACCCTCAAGGGGCGTTCAATCTAAGGTCCCTAACTTACATTCATACATACACATACTAGGATCAATTTAGACAGGATCCAATTAACCTATCAGCATGTTTTTGGAGTGTAGGAGGAAACCGGAGTACCCGGAGGAAACCCACGCAGGCACAGGGAGAACATGCAAACTCCAGGGAAGTGGTGCTGTGGTTGGGATTAGAAGTGACAACCCTAGTACTGCCAGGCGGAAGTGCTAACCATTTAGCCAGTGTGCTTTTTTACTGAAAGAAGAGAATGGTAGAATGGTTCACATTCTAAGATGCTGTATGTTTACATTGGGGACTGGGTTGGTACTTTCGGCCCTCTCTTTTTTTCATTGTTGTTTTAATTGAACTGTTAATTTCATCTTGTTTCATCAATACATTTCACCCTTTTCAGTATTTTGGCCATCACAGCATAGAAATACTTGGATTTGAAGGCTGGGCCTCTTGTGCCATGTTTATAGCCTCTGTGCTACCATTAAGCCCGGTACACAGCCTATGGCTGTGAGCACTGACCAGTGTGTTGTGGTGGGGCAGTACAGAACGCAATAGCTTAGCGGGGAGCTCGCTGTCCTAACATAGGATAGTTAGTACAGCGAGCTCCTCCCGAGCTCTTCAGTTTTTTTTTTGTTCAACCCACTGGGTTAGATGAAAAAAAAACTGTTAGTGTGTACCAGGCATTAAAATCTGGGCAATACACACCAATGTAAAATAACTGGCTGTCAAAACTGGAGTGAATGGTTCAAAGTGAGATAGGGGCAACCCTAAATAAAGCCCAGGTAGATGGTTCTGGGAGGTAGAGAATTTAAAACCAAAAACCAGATTTAGTTTAGTAGCTATTTTATCAGCTGTTGTAGTTTATAAATGACCAATTTTAGGAAACTTGATATGAGAAAAATACATAGGGAAGGTTTACTAAAATTGGTGCACAGAGAATCTGATGCAGCTTTGTATAGTAACCAATCAGCTTCTAACTTCAACTTCTTCAATTATGTTTTGAAAATAAAACCTAGAAGCTGATTGGATACTATGCAAAGGCTGCACCAGATTTTGTGTGCTCCAGTTTTAATAAATCTCCCCCCTAGAGTTCTACAAGAGTTCTAACTCTTCATCTTGCCATCTAAAACTAAAAAGAAAGGTTCTTTTGGCTATGGAATACACTTTAAAGCCAAGCTCCAGGTGTGGGTTTTATTGCATAGTCACTTTGGTCCATCTTGGACCAATGTAAACATACAGTATATATCCCTTACTTGTGCAACCACTGTGGAAGTGAAGACTCACTGGGATAGTTGCTGCTACAACATTGTTTCCAGTGGTCTTCCAGGTCCTGCACATAGCCACTTTTCATAGAATGCCTTTTATTTTTTGACACAGGACCCAGAAGAGCATGATGATCACTGCCAAGTAGTACAATGATTCTCCACTTCCACAGTGGTCCCTCAGGTATAGAATATGTATACTTACATTTGTCTAAGCTGGACCAATGTAACGATGCAATAAAAACCAAACTTGAGTTCAACTTTAAAAGAAGGGCAAAATATGACTAGATTAAACCTTAGTTTTAAAAATAATAATAATAACTCATAATAACTCAATAAAAATATACACTCACTGGAAATATAGTTTCCCTTTAGTGAAAGGTTTACTAGACATGTATTAGTCTTCATGCACACTAGATGTTTTTACAGCTGCTGTTTTTGGCTTTTGGTGTTTTATTCTACAGCCAGTAAAATCCCCAGCATGCACATATAGATTGTAATCAGCGTTTTTTGGCAGGGGCGTTTTTTGGCTGGAAAAACCCCAGAACTAGTGGGTTTCTAGAGTTTTTTTTAGCTGTAAAACGCTCTAATGCTGAAAAATGCATAAAAACATGGAAAACCAGCATTTTTGGACTTTTTGGAGCAAAAAAAAAGTGAAAAAAACGCAAAAAAAGCGAATGCAAAAATGCTGAAAAACTCAAATTTGTTACGTGATTTACACAGCTAACGTTACCAGTGTTATTAAAACGTCCAGTGTGCATATAGCCTTAGGGTACACAGGACTGTGCAGAAAATATTTGAGAATACATGTATTATGCAGAAAATATAAGGAATACTTCATTTTTATTTTTTTATTTCTGGGGTCAGTTAACAGTTTTACACTGACTTTCTATACTAGTTGGGTTAGGCTGATATTATTATATCATTCTTTCATTGCAGCTGCTGTTTCGGTTACCTGGGCTGATAGAATGATCCCATCATGGTCCTGGATTATGCCTGTCTCAGTGGCCTTCTCCATATTCGGTTCTCTCAATGGTGGTATGTTTATGCTCGGGAGGTTAAATTATGCCGGCAGCAAAGAAGGACATTTGCCGTCACTCATCTCCATGCTCCATGTCCATTACTTGACTCCAGCTCCAGCGATGATTATCTCCACACTGATAGGATGCATATTTGTCATACCTTCCGACCTTCTCTCATTAACTAATTACTTCAGCTTTTGTTCGTGGCTCCTAATTGGACTAACTTGTGCTAGCCTGATTGTTCTTCGCTTCAGGGAGCCCAACTTGGAGCGTCCTTACAAGGTGAGATAAAAACCCCAATATGAATAATGGTAGCAATGATAGCATCACTTTGAAAAAAAATAAATTTTTCGTTAATCTTAAGCCAGGGGCGGACTGACCATTTGGAAACTCGGTGCTGCCCGAGGGCCCGGGGTCAGTAGGGATCCCCATGAGATGCCCCTGGTACCTTTTTCATAGGCTTTTTTGAGTTTGGGCAAGAACACAGGGGCCCCATGATCCCCTATTGCCCGGGGGCCCCATGAGTTGTCAGTTTGCCCCTGTCCTAAGCCCTTTCCAGCACCCTCCTGTTGACCTTTTATCTGAGTCTTACATGAAGGGGCAGGATGGACTTCCTTATGACAAGATCACTGTGACTGTACCATCACAAACAGAGACCAATTGCTGTCTTTGACAGTTTGGTCACTGAGCTGGGAAAACATAGTGAGAGCACTCTCAGTACAGAAACCTTGGCCGCCATGGACGCATAAGTGCAACATGTAAGCATTAAGGTACACCTTCTCTGCTGCTGCACATATGCATTAAAAGGTTGCAGGAGGTTAAACAATAATCTCTAAAAAGGCTATTTCAAAATACAGCCTCAAGAATTCATTAGGAATCAATCACCTGATATCAACAACATAATAGCCTTCATGTGTAAAAGTGCCATGTCTTCTAACCCATTTACTCCATACAGATGGCACACAGACACTTTCACATAAATCATAAGAACATCATGTTATTATTGGCAATTGAAATACACAACACTTCAATGCCCTATTTTTAGACTTGTTCCTTGAAGCTAAAGTATTGAAAGTATTGAATCTAAAGCATCAACATGATAGCTAGGCAGAATGAAATAATTAGAAAGACAGGTATCTATGACCAAGGTGGCAAACACAATGAACTAGCCCATTTATTCTTAATACAGATATCTGTGCAAAGAGCACCATGGTGCTTTATTGACTGGTGTGTGTTCTTGAAGAACAAGGTTAATTGTGACACACTAGCAAGCCCAGACTGGCCATAGGACATACTGTAATTTGCCTGGTGGGCCGGGGCTGGTGAATTGCATGTTCTGATGGAGGTGGGAATAGGGCAGCTAAAGACCTCAGATCCCCAGGATCTAAATTCAGCGTCCTCAGGGTGCGGGCAGACTGAAAGTGCTTTGCTGTGTATATCATGTGTACATGGCGAACGGGCGGCCCTGGAAACAGAGGCTGCAGGGAAGGTGGGCAGCTAGGACCAAGAGCCCTGAAGGGAGAAGACCTGCACTGCCTCTCTGACCCCCGAGGGTGAGAGCGGGAGCTGCAACAGCACCCTACAGAGCCTAATTCATTCTCCAACCTCCTCTGTGGATGGCAGCTCAGTGGACAGACTGACAGGATGAGGACTGGCAGGAGGGGCAAGCAGCCAGGACCAATACCCAGGATAGTCTGTCTATGTCTACAGATAGGTGAGAGGAGAAAACGCTAAACTCTTAATGTAGACTGATAAAAAGTAGGCTAATTTAATGATAAAAACACACTCATAAGAGTAGATAAAAAACATGCCGATCCTAAAGTCTCTCTTTGGCAGCGATGCTTAAAACGCTCAGCTTGGAGGAGGGGGGGGGGGGGGGCTTTAGGAATGGTTTCAATGACCCACACTCTCAGGCTATCAGAAGACTGGGAATGGAATTCAGAGAAGTGTTTGGGAATACTCAATTTGTTTTTCCCATCTTCCACTGAGCATCTGTGTTCTCCAAATCTTTAGCGTAAGATTCTAATAGTGTGACCGACATAGAGAAGACCACAAGGACAAGACAGGCAGTAAATCAGAAACTCTGAGGAACAGTTGTAAAACTCTACTAAATTCCATCTGACCACAGCAGTGTGGGCGAAATTGCGATCACATGCTCCACCTGCCGTCACTGCCCATATAAGCCTCAACTAGGATGGCTGCCGGATCAGCCTGAAGAAGGAGCGTGCATGCTCCGAACACGTGTTATATTTGGAGATCCTATCCGAGTGACGCCATTGTACAGAGCCTTCCTGCACCTCTCTGCTACCCCCCGAGCCCTGGAAACCACCGGAGCTGCGGGGAAACACAGGGGCACTGCAAAGGACCACAAGCATCACCGGACCTCTCACACATCGATCTGCCTGTTTTTATCTACTCTTGTGAGTGTGTTTTTATCATTAAATTAGCCTTCTTTTTTAACAGTCTACAGAGTGGCGCCACTGTTTCTCCTCTGACAGCTGGCTGCCTCTGTCTTCAAGGCATACATTTCCACAGATCCATCTTCAAGCCTGCCACTTAAGACAGTGCTGGACTATTCATCTGCAAGCCACTATTTGCATATATGGACCTTTACACATGTATCCACCTATTGTCCATCCTTAATCCCCATCCCTATCACTCATCCCCCCTCTTTCTCTCCATCACATCCCCCCTCTATCGCTCATCCTCCCCTCTCTCTCATCCCCCCTCTCTCTCATCCCCCCTCACCTTTTCATCCCCTCTTTCTCTTGCCCCCCTCTCTCTCTCCCTCACCCCCCCCCCCTCTTTTATCCCCTCTCTCCCCCTCTCTCTCCCTCTCTCTCACCCCCCCCCCCCCCCCCCCATCCCACCTCTCTCTTAGAAACTGGTAGTTGGCTTTATTTGTAATTTGGTTTCCAAAGAAAAAAAATCAGTCTAAAATGCCTCGGCCTATTTTTTGACCCATCCAGGCCTACACACTGGGTTTGATTAACTAAAACTGGAGAGTGCAGAAGCTGGTTCATGCTGGCCAGTCAGCTTCCAGGACCTTTGTCAAAATGTAATTGAACAACAGCTGAAGTTAAAAGCTGGTTGGTTACCATGCACAGCTGCACCAGATTTTGCATTTTCCAGTTTTAGTAAATCTACTCCACTTTTTTACATCTTACAGCATTAGCATCTGCTCTGTGATGTCATGTGTCTAAAATGCCAAGCACTGTAGGCAGTGCTTGATGTTTGGCTACATGACATCAGAGAGATGCAAAGAAAGTTAGTGCTGAAAGATCTTCCCTTTGCCAAAGGTTGTGATTTTAGGTCTTAACAGGGAATAGGTAGATATATAAAATAGTATACTGTATATAATACCTATAAAATAATCAGTATAATGCCTAACAAGTGCCACTAACTGCAGTTCTTACTGATTGAGGTCTGACTAGCGGAGTATGTTTATTCAGGGTCACCTGTCTAGCATATCTTATTAGCTCTGGCCTGGAGGTTAAATTTTTCCAACCACCCAGTTCTCCCCTGGTGCACAATGCTGCCAGTAGAACACTAGGTACTTCCTAGCAGGAGCAACAAGCAGAAAGATCATCACATTGGTGATGATCTGTCATTGTAGTGACAAACTGGCATTGCTTAACTGCAGTGGAGAAAAATGAAGTCACCAGCTTGCATATGTTTAATATAAATATGTGCTGTTCTGCGTCCCCTGCAGGAACCTCTGTTCATCATAAAGATGAAAGGAGATTCACAGACAGCCACTGACATGTAAAAGCAATATAAAGACTCTTGAAAAAACAAAATGGCTAAAACAGGGCTACATATCTTTTTGGCAGATATAAAAGTTTATATAAAGCTTTAGGTGAAACTATAATCTAATCCCTGTTTGTTTGTTTTTTTTAGATATACATGTAAAAGAAAAACATACAAGAAAAACATAGCTTAAACTTATAAATTAATTACAAAAATAGACTATTTTATTTTGCAAAGCATAAATCCCATCTTAAAAATAAATGAGAGCATACATTATACTGTTAGTGCCATAAAATCGAACATACAGTATATATGATCTCATATCCATCCTGCACAATCTCATAAAGATCTTAACAATACATGAACTTGTTTAGACATCTACAAGGCCAACACATTTTGTTGAGCTTGTCTGCTTCATCAGGACAACAATGTCTCTCCAACAATGAAAGTCATATGCAGCTCTTTTCAAAGTCAGAGTGTGTACTTGTAGGGTAGTTTGCAAGCAAAAACTCTTAAAATATATTTAAACAATCAGAAAATGAACAAAACACAAACTATTGCATATAAAAAAAATACAGGATAAAGAAACACCATCATCACTTTTATAGACCATATTACTATATGAGTTTCCACTGTTGTATATGTACCTCATGTTGCCCAGAGTAATGAAATGACTGGACTGTTCACTTGCATCTGAAAAGAGCACAAATACAACAATAAGCAGAAAAACTTCACAAGAGCTCCCATTCCACCTGAACAAAAGGCTGATGTAGTACCTGAAGTGGATCCTAAAATGGTGTGCACACTGTCCACCACGATCTACCCAACTATTCATGTGGCAGGGATGACTATTATCTTCCAGGACCAGGCGGCACCCTGCCAAATGCAGCGTGAGCTCCAAACTGGACAATGTTACTTCTGGATTTTTCCACTGCCAAGCCCCAGACAGCAGTATTATGAACAACATGTGCTCCAAACTGGAGCGCACCAAAACTAGTGCCGCAAGGTCATACCCCTGCCAGACATGCCCCCTTTAACTGATTGCTCCAGCTTCATGGCATGAAGTCCACCAGAAGTCTAAGCAAAACCACCACCTCCTTACAAGGGGGACATGAAGCACAAATATGAGAATTTCAAGCATCAACATATAATAACATTATACAATCACTATACCACCAATGACACATATCTAAATATATACAGCTACTTTTATAATTAACCAGGAGGAATGGTGGACCTTATATTTCTTATTCTTTAAATGAATGGTTTAAAACTAATTTGCTTTTTCAGACCTGGAGGAATATTACCCTTCAAATTAAAGGTCCTGTGGGTTTCTTTTTGTAAAATAATTTTATTGTTCAGTAATCTCCCCCCTAGAATTCAGGAGCTGATATCTTATTGCAACAGGTGTTAAGCAATGAGACATTCATTGTAGTAGCTCATCTAATCTTCTTCTAGGGTTTAATCTACAAATCTCTGCAATTAATGCAATAACAAGGAACATGAGTGATCAAGCATGTAAAAATATGAACTTGTAAAGAT